TTTTATTAATTAACATAAATAAAATTAATATTTTTAAAAATAATATTTTATAATTTTAATAACGATGGTATTATTATTATCTGTGACTATATCCTTGTCCCGTCTTTTTCCGTCAAAATATACAAGTTATTAGCGTATCGTGCACGCCTTGGGACTGTTATATGACGTATGGGATTATGTAAGTGGTCAACGGTACGAACTACGAAGCTCCACCCAAAGTTCTCAGACTTCCTTGTTTAATTTGATCATTGCAACGACCATTTATTATTCCTAGATTATAATAGTTACGATGGTACAAGGGTATAAGATTATATTGAATAGACGTACTCGCTTTCTCTTTGAGTCGGTATGATTCCTCTCATGGTAAATTGTTAAAAAGAAAAAAGAAAGTATATACCGGAAAAAAAATGCTCATATGAAATGAAAATTACAGGCTTATGTTATGCATGTGGGCCAAAACGTAAAAATTTACACTTATGTTTGATTGAGAAGAGGGAGATGAATGGAAGAATTCTCCTCCCCTCATTTTTATAAATAGATATTTCTAACATGAACTCTTAGTTTAAGAGTTTTTTTTTATAATAAATATGTATAAAAAAATATAAAAATTAATATTAATTTTAGTATTAGATGAATTTAATTAGATAGTTAATAAATTAAAAATTAATTTTTATTTATAAAATTTATAACAAAAATATATATTTAATATACTTTTAAGTTATATTTTTAAGATATAGATTAAATAAATCTTTTATAAATAAATAAATTAAAAAATAAAGTAAAAAGTTATATCAAATGACTTTTTCTTTTAATAACCGAATAAAACAATTTTTCTTCTTTTTAATTCTTTTGATAATTAAATTAAGAAATTTTTTCTTCACCTCTTTTTTTTATTCTTTTGAAACTAAATATAGTATTAATCTTGTCAGAGATGAGTTTAAAAACAATAAGGTTATATCAAAAGACTAGACACTAATGCTCGATAACAATCATTTTATTTTAAAATAGATAGAGTAAAGTTTCATTTGTTAGTACTTCGCTATAATTATAGATTTTTTTGACAAATTATGCAAATTAACCCTTCTATTCCACTTCAAGTTGATGACTACTTTTTCAACATTTTTCACTAGCAAATAGCCTCCTTTAATTGTTGAGCAAGTTGACCATTACATTTTCAATGTTTTTGACAAGAAAATAACCTCTTTTAATTGTTGAGCTGGGTAAATTAGCCCCTTATTTCATGGATGACATCATCTAATGAAATAAGGGCTAATTTGCCAAATTGTTAACCATAGGGTGTTACCGGCTAGTGAAAAAAGTTAAGAGGTGATTGTCAACCTAAAGTAGGGTAAAGAAGCTGATTTGTATAATTTTCTATTTTTAAAATTTTTTATTATATATCTTAAAAATATATAAAATATTAATTAAAATTAATAAATTTATATTTTGAAATGAGCAATCATGTGAAAAGAATAATAAAAGGATGACAATCATACAAAAATTAAATATTTGATTGTTAGACAATTAACTGTCAAAGTTAACAGCAAAATGGATGGCATCCAATTAAAGATGACATCTAACAGAAAAAGAGTTGTAGAGGGATGACAATTATGGTGTAAAAAAAGTAGAGGATGACATGGAATATTTCCTTAGTAGAGGGATGGTAATGAACATTTTTACAAAGTATGAGGACTACAGTTGGCTTTAACCCCAAACAAAATAATAACGAAAGAATACGTATTCGGGATTTCAAAAGAAGCTCTTTGTCAT